AGATTTCCATCTTCATTTTCCAGGAGTTTATTCCTGATAATGGATAATACAAAAAATGCTTTGCACCAAAATCAGGATTAAATAATGTTAGAAAGTACTCTCAAGGGTTGAATTTACCCTCAAGAAATGGTAGTAATCGTGTGTTTCTCAACCAGGCGATGTTTCTGATTTTGGTTTGATATTTGGGGTGTAAAAGAGCGTTTGCATCGTTCCAGCCAAATTGGCAAGCTTCTTTCCTTAAAATTTTCGGTATTCCAATAACTTTATTTTGGGCAAAAACTCAACCAACAAAAAAGAGACGTTGATGCTTCGCAATTCATTTGCAGTCATTTTTTCGCCATCATTCGAATTTTCGTAACCTATTCATTTTTCAATCATCCGAACGAGCGATTTTTCTGATATTTGTCCCGATAATTGAATTTAGCATTTATCCACATTGTTGCCTTCAGCAGCGGAAATGCGTTTTTTTATCTGAAGTGAATGTGGAATATCCGATAGCAAGCAGTGTTTCGAAGTTGCTGATCAAGACTACGGAAACTTCGATCTGAAAACGTATGTAACTAATGATATTTTCGTTCTTTTACTGTCGTCAATGTATTTTGCTAAGCTGATATTACATTCAATAAGATTGTTACATTCAAAACCACCGATTCAATAAGATTGTTCGGGTAGTGTTGGGTACCAAAAATGATACGATTTCTGTCGTACGATTAGATAGAATTTTCAAAATGATGGATCATTTCAATCATGAATTGTTCATATCTCATCATCACTGTTTGACAGCTTGTTTGCATTTAGAACTTTGTTGGTCAAGATGGCGATGGACAAAATAATTAAGCCCGATGAACAGGACTATATTTCACCGCTGATCTCTTTTAGAGATTTCAAAGAAGTAATCGCTCAGTTCCTTTGATAATATATTCATGTTGATTGTTATGGAAAAAGATTATCATAGACGTGTGATCCTATACGTTTAATTCCATAGAATTTTTCACTTGTTTTAAATCACAATTCTCTTTATTTACAAACCCACCTAGTCAAATCGTTAAGTTGTAATTGATAAATAAAAAACGTTTCAAATCTCCTTTACAATATTTCCAGTGTTGTCATAATCGACTGTCAGAAAAGCAAAATCGACAGAATATTTCATTGCAGAAAGCTTTAGCAGCTCGCGATGGCTTGCGTGATGCACTTAAGTTGCCATCTGTCCGTGCATTCGTCTACCCAGATGATATACCCGAAGAACCACCGCACATGGTCGGTAAACTGGGTGGTGCATTCGACAGAGCGTTCGAACGAGACGATGAAGAGAGGATACGAGGCATCGTTAAGGTTGGTATCCCGCATGATGAGGCCACAACTTCATTAGCTGCATTAAGGTGAGGTCATCTCTAACGATTCTTCAGTAGTCAGTCTAACTTTTGAAGAATTTATTTCCAAAATTTAATATTTGGTTTTGGCACTCTTCTAGTTTAGCTGTCGTTGTTCAGTTCTGATTGCTCTCATCTCATCATGGAATATTGAAATAAAAATGTGAATGCCATCAAAAAAAGCTGATTTATCAAACAGTTTTGGTTGTACCATATCATTTAGTATAGCCGGTTTTAGTTTTATCAACTCGTGTGATGTTACCTCTTTTAGGATGTGGGTAGAAAATTACGAGAAACTGACATGGAAGGAATATAAAATAAGTGATCATTAAGTGTTATTTAATTTTTGAATTTAAGGATGGCTGATGATTTGGCTGAGGCGAATAAACGAGATGTTTTCTTTCGACGTAATGTTGAGATTGATGACCTACCGACAGAAACAACTCTAGAAACACTTAAGTATGCGTTCGGTTTTGATTTCAAGATTCATTTTATCAACTACTCTTAAATTCCACAGAATCGGAGTGGTACACTGTCAAGGTTATCTTTTCCACCAAAACGTACAAAAAATTTCAGTTATCCTATTTGGCTATAAATTTTTTGGCGATAAATTTCTCGTTGCATTCGTACGTTTCGAATTTTAGAATCCGAGCGAAGGCACTCGAACAGTTGAAACCGCTGAAGAAGCCGTTTCGTCGAACACAAGATGAAGTGTGAGGTTTTTCTTTGGAATTCTATTTGCGCTATGTAAAGATGTGATGCCGTTTCGTCATATTTCATGTCCACATAACTTTTCAGGGCGAATGAAAAGAATCTTCAAGAACGCGTTAAAATGCAGCAGTTCATGTTCCAAAAGATCAAACGTTTGAAATATGTCAATCATTACGAAAATGTTAGTTCATTTTAATGTATTATAGGATAGTAATTTTTTTCGATTTAAATAGTTTCATTTTAAATAGATGAATGTTGAGTAACGATTGCAATCCTAATTTAAGGACATGCATCACACTCGAATATCTGAAACAACTGAACCAGC